ACACAATCCCTGACGTTCTGTGGAAGTGAAAAAGAAGGGCTCAAAAAATGGCACACGTACAGTCTTGTTCGCTGCGGATGATGGGGCGTGACAAGGGTGAATGTGTTTTGCGCGGCGCCAGTCCTTTTTATTTTTTCCCTTGGGCAAGTGACTGGACTGCGTCATATTGTCCGTATCAGTCGTTTTTCGCCAGTTGTTGTCCAACTGATACAGGGCTACCGACGCGCTGAACCATGCCTCACGGAAATCCCCATCGTCCACAGCGAACAAACTGTGAGAATCATTGCCTTTTTTCTCGGCACTTTGAACTACTTATTGTCCCACTTTTCCAAATTCGTTCCACATCCCGATCGAAACTCTCCCGCAAGGCTGGGTTTGGCTAACACTTCCACCCACCCCCCCCCCCAGGGGTGGAATGACCGCTAAGCACGTATATCACATCCACCTGAAGTGAAAGAACTTGGCGCTTGACCCTTATATCGCCTTTGACGCCAGCTCTCACAGCCGTGATCGTTATAAACGATAGGACGTACGACGAGGGTGCTGCTTAGAGTGCAGCCAGGACAGCTTTCCCACCAATTATAACAGATCTACCATGGAATCATTGGTGCAAAAAGACCGCTCTGACTGCGTTCCAATCCTCATCGCATCAAACTCCCTATCGTTTGCAGGGATCGTGACTGTACCAAGCGGTGTCGGTGACAAAATTCTAGCTAGATCGCGAAAAACCTTGGTCAAATCTGGGCTCGATTTCGAGGAGTACACCAGTTAAGGGTAAAATGTCCCTTTATTTCATTCAACTGGAAGATTAGATGAGACATTTTCTATGGACGCTATCTGAGCGATATGGGATTCAGGTGTACACAACACAGCGTTCAGAAAATGACAATAATTTTTCGTCATTATAAGGCGCCATTCATAGCGCGGACACTACTGAAACTCCTATTACAGCCATTTATAATTATAGTACTATCAGCGCTCTACCCTTTCAAGTAATGTCACCATCCAGAAGACCATATGGATAAAAAAAGCATAGGTGCTACACACCGTCTTCCAGGCCATCCAGTTTTAAGATACCGACTTCCAGGGCCAATTTTAGTTCCCTTGAGCTCCCTTATTTTACGCAGTATTTGGGCGAACTTGTTTATTTTTCAATACTAGATAATCCCTTCACCATAAGCGCAGTTGTTTTTGCCTCAGCAGATTTCATGTAGGCAAGAGCAATAAATAAATAAACATGTCAATGAATACTATTCAGGCAGCGTTATTGGTGTGAAGTTAGACTGCAATCGTGGCACGCTCGAGTTCACCATCAACGATCGGAAACGAATGTTTGAAAAAAGCTCGTTCGCGTTCAAGTAAGTAATTTCACTTTCCTGGAGTTTCAACAAAGAGATGAAGGTGGAACAGTGGCAAGAGGCGCTGTCAC